GTAAAGAATAAATACAACTCCGCTTCTTACAACATGGTATACTAGGTGCATGGATCAGCACTCTTACTGAAAAGATAAAATTATTGGACAAAATACTAAAAAGCAAAAAAACTTGAATGCATCTATTGTCTGTCAGAAGCAAATGCAAATATTTTCTAGGGAGTCCTCCTTCATCTCACGTCTCAACATATTTTCCACAGCCAAAGTTCCAAAGGAAATGAACAGCTAGCTCACAGTTAAGAAAAATACTACACATGCAAGGGAACCAAGGTACCAGCAGAAACAGCTGTTAGGAGAATCATATACAGAATATATTAAATAAAATAAGTATGTCTGATGTTTCGATAAAGGAGAGGCTTGAAAATGAATAAAGATGTTGAGTTGCAAAAGCAAATCACAGAAAAACACCTACAGTATTATTCCATTGATATAAAGGTCAAATGTAGATAAAACCAAACAATATACTTTTTAGGATTGCAATACACAGGTGGTAAAAACTCTAAAGAAAAGCAAAGAAGGGATTAATACAATTCAGGATAATGGTTACTTTCTGGGGAGGAGAGGGACGTGACCAGAAGGAAATACACTGGAAGCTTCTGAGATGTGGTAATACCTTATTTCTTAACTCTAGTGATAAGGAACATGAGCATTTATTTTATTGTTTTTAAATTGTGTATTTTCATGTATTGTTGGATGTATGCTACATTTCTTAATAAAAAGGAAATATGTAGTAAAGCATGCAATATGTAAAATCTATGTTGATTAATTTTTCTTAAATCTTACTTATAATTCCCACTATTGTAGAGTATTTCAAATATATAGCAAAGCTTGTGGTTTAAGGAAACTACTTTTCTACTGGTATGATGCAACAATTTTCTTGTCCCTGCTTCACAGCAAATGCTAGCTTTGTGTTGTTATTATTAATCTTCCTTTTTTTCTACTTTGCAGCAAAATGAGAAGATGAGGCAAATTTATGGATTCTGGTTTTTCTGAATTCTCAAAGCATAATGAGTCAAAACAGAAACATAACTAGGATCAAGAAGATGAAACTTTTGATGAAAAGTTTGCTTTTTTTCCTCTTTGGCCTTTTCATGGAGTGTTGATTTGTCCATTCTTATGTTTAGATATATGTGCATAAAATAGCACATATATCTAAATTTTGTAATATTAAACTTTAAAATCATTTTGGTCATTACCTAACATTTTCCTGGTTATTTAAGCTTCTTTCTACCTAATAGCCTTTAACCAAACAATAGTTATTAACCTTTTAACCAAATAAACTGTGTTAATAAATACTTTTGCATTGGTTATCTTGTATACCAAGCTATCTTATTTTGTTTTGTTTTTAAACCATGCAGTATATGTGAGCATCTGAAAGGTTTTAAAAGTCACATCCTACCCTGGCTAGTTTTCTCTTACCCTTCATTCTTCTACTTTCAGAAATACTTGTGTTAGGTGTCAGTTTTTGTATTACTTCCATTATATGTAATCTGATGACTTGGGGGAGGGATTAATCTTTCAAATTCCTTTGAATTTGGTTTTTATAACTAAAAAGATCACTCACTATTCTAGTAATAAGTAATAAATCCTATTCTTATCTGAAATCGATATGCAGCTTATCATATTAAAATTACTAGTCAAACTTTATGCTGCCTAGATAGAAAAGCTTTCTGAAGGGGTAAGCCCAGAAATCTGCATTTAACAAACACTTCAGGTAAGCCTGGGGCAGATTTTTCTAGTTCTACACTTTGAGAGACTGCCATAGGGGTACAGGGTACCACAGAACTTATTCATAATATTAAAGATGACATTTCCAACTGCTAAAGTAGAACAGCCACCCAGCAATGTCAGTTGAATGGAGACTAGAAGCTTTATTAAAGTAACAGTCTATGTGGTGATTAAGAGGTTGACACTCTGACAGTCTTTGTTCTCTTTCCTGAACTATTATTTTAAGACTTTGGGCTTCCTAGAGTCACTCTGGTGTTATATTTTTGTTTCTATTTTTTCTTTCTGTAAGAGTTTTCTTTTTTCTGTTCCCATGCAATTATTTTTTATAGTCATATTTATCAACTTTTTCCTTTACTATTGCTGGAATTTGGCCACAGTAAGAAAAAATTTTTCTACCCCTAGGTTATAAAAACATTTACCAATGGTTTCATTTATTTTTTAAATTTCTAATTCATGTGAAATTTGTTTATTGTATGGTGTGAAGTATGAATGCAATTTTGACTTTTTTCCCAAATGATTCTCTATTAACTAAAAAGTGCTGTTTTCCACTACTATTTTGAAGTGCTACCTTTTAATGTTGTATTTCCATGTGCACTTTATTTTTTGATTTTCTGTTGTCTTCTAGTCTGTGTGTATTTTTATGCCCAATACTATACGCTTTAAATTACAGAGACTAGAAGAGTTTCAAAGTTTTCCTCATACAGGTTTTGCACGTTTCTTGATAAATTTATGCCTAGATAGTTTATCTTTTTTTCTTAGTGTATAAATGAGGTCTTCTCTTTGATTCTCTCTCCTAATTACTGTTTGCATATATAAAGACTATTGATTTGTGTATGTTAATTACTAAACTGTTTTTGTTTGTAGTACTTTTTTCCAGACATACCTCCTGAAAACCACACTATTTTTGCCTCTTTTTCAGTTTTTATGCTTCCCATTGCTTTCTCTTATCTTATTGCATGGCCGCTACTTTAAGTAAAATGTTAAATAGTAGTGGGAATAGCGAGTATCCTCATCTCATTCCTGATTTTTTATGGGAACACCTCTGGTTTTAATTCATTAAGGAAGATGGTGGCTTTTGGCTTGGTTGTGTGTATTTATAATCACATTAAAGTATAATCTATCAATTATTATTTGAGTGCCTTTTGTTTTTATTTATTTTCAGAGTCTTGCCCTGTTGCCCAGGCTGGGGTGCAGTGGCATGATCATAGCTCACTATAAGCTCAAATTCCTGGGCACAAGCAATCCTCCTGCCTAAGCCTCCCTAGCAGCTAGGACTACAGGAATGTACCACTACACCTAGCTCATTTTTTTATTTTTATTTTTTGTAGAGATGGGGTCTGTGATGCCCAGACTGGTCTCCAACTCCTGGCCTTAAGCCATCCTCCTGCCTCAGCCTCCCGAAGCACTGAGATTATAGGCATGAGCCACCATGCCCAGCTTGAGTACTTTTTTTGAAAAATCATGAGTCGGTGTTGAATTTCAACAGATGACTTTTGGCATTGATAGTGATTGTGCAGTTAGGGTCCAGCCAAGGGACAGAAATCACAATGATTGTTAACCATATATAATAGAGAAATGAAAAAAGAATTGGAAAAGCAGAAGGGACCACTGGAGTGTAATAGAGGGAGTAAATATAGGAAGCACCCACCACCTCCGGGGCTGAGAGAACAAAGTGGAAAAGAGTGAACTTGCTGAATTGTAAAGGCTTGGAGGCAGAGTTTCGGGACCGGGACACTACAACTGGTTGGGGCCGGTTTCCCATAAGGGATATGATGAGACTGGTCTGATAAGGTGGAGCCAGCTGTGGATGCTGAAGTCAATTGTTGCTGCCAGGGTGAACCATTTCTGTGGTTATGCTGATAGGAACAAAGCACTTTTTCTCCTTTCTCCTCTATAGTTCCAGTTTGCCTCTAACACCCTCTATTGGTAAGAGACTAAAAGGAAGTCTGACAAAGAAGAAAGCAGATTTGCAAAGTCCTGGCCTTAAAATGGAATAGAGAAGTATGGATTTGAAGCTGAGACACAACAGCTTAATAATCAGCACAAAAATATATCAATGTGATACGCTACATAGATTTGCTGATACCAAAGCATTCTTGTTTTCATGGAACAAATCCCCCTTTTTAATGTGTGCTAGCTGTTGTCTCAATTCAGCCCACCTCTGTATACCTTGCTATATGATGCTGGGACTGAAATATTTTTTCTTTCCTAGCTGACTTCTTTTTAGCTCCTGTCAATAGGGGGTACTAGAAGGGGATGGAAAATCAGAGTGAAAAGGAACTCACTCCTTCCTGTTTGTTTGCTCTCCTTGTCAGTATCATCAAAGTAATGGTGCTTTACCCAGCAGCAGCAGTAGGTTAAGGCACCTGTTGGTTTTAGCACTTCTAGAACCAGCTTCATTATGCTCTTTCGGAGGTAACAGCACTAGTTGGATTGTGCCCCTTCATCAGAGGCTGCACGTCTACCTTTTCAAGGAGGCTTTTTCAGGCCCCTAAGGTATAGTGCCATCTTTGCTGTACCCCATTCTTAAAGGTCTGAATTCTGACTTCTGGAAGCCCTTTTCCTAGCTCCTGAGATAGTAACAGTGGCTCCTTCAGGTCTCCTCCAAGTTTCTCAGGTCTAATAATCCCAACCTCTTCCCTAATGTATACACACTTACCCCAGTTGGTGTCTACATTGCTGAAAGAATGCAAAATGAAACAAGCCTTATAGAAAAGATTTTGACAATATTCAATAAAATTACATATGCATTTATCATTTGCTCCTGCAATCCTACTTTTAGGAAACTATACCAAAATTCCTCTTACAAAAATATAAAAATTATACTATGGCATAGTTTGTAATAACAATAATAAAAAAGAACAACCAACGTACCATCAATAGAGGACAGTTTATCTGAAAGCAACCTAGAATGAAAATAATTTTCTATCAAGTTGGTGACAGAGAAGACAGAGACACTTGACCTTAGAAAAGGTATTTTGAATTTACATCTTCAATAGAATGTAACTTTTTAATCTTTATTAAAAGAACTACAAAGAAATCTTAAACTTTCACTCATTAGTCTTATTACTACTGTAATAATGTGGATATTTTGAAATACATCTATGGACAGGATAAAGCAATTATGTTAAAGTTTTAGAACCAAGATTGTTGGCCTAGAGGAAAGGGATACAATTATAATTCAAGAATATTTTTAAAAACCTGTAATCTTAAATTTTAATTAGAAATATCAGCGTGAATGTGCTTTTTTTCACCCTTCTTTTTAAAATTTTGTATTTCCTGGTGCTGCCCCCTGAAAATATGTGAAAACAATGACAACTCATTGGCAATGAGCACCTCTAGCACCCAGATTGTGGTTTCTAAATACTTATTACCCATTTTAACATACTGCCACACTAGAAAAAAAATTCCTTGGGGCCACAGTGTTTAATTATGAAACAGAATAAAGACTTGAAAAATAAAATCCTTTCTAATTTAATGAAAAATGTGGGGTTTTTTTATTGTTTTCTGTGTGTAAGTTATATGCAACTTGAAAAATAGTTCTTGCGGCTCCCCAGGTGAAGAGATGTGAGTTACGTATGCTTCATGAGGCCCCAGGCTCAAAACTAGCATGAGTTAAATACGACTCACATGGCAGTTAATGTGTTAAGGAAGCAGTCTGGGACAGGACATAGACAAGGTGAACTTGAGGCATCTTATTGTGCCAGAAAGCAAGGAAATTATCAAAAACTAATGCAAGCATATCAAAAGGGCACTGGTTCCAATTTGAAGGTGCTTCCATTGGCCTAAGATGGGACAAACAGCATCTTTAAGAATGATGATTACAATTGATGAAAACACTTTAACTACAGGAAAAGTCATAAATTCATAATGATAAGTGGGGAGAGAAAGTAAAACATTGGATACTACTGGAAGTAACTCAATACTCTGAAAATTTATAATTTAAGGGGAAGTAATACAAACTTATCTTGACTTTCTGGTATGAATTTAATTTGTGCATAGTCAATAGCTCTACTGAAGGATGGAGTTCTAGTCAAAAGGATCCCAGCTGATGAATGCAGAAGAAATGCTAGAATTAGAAAAATTGCAGCACCCTAATAAAATTACTGTTCAGGCAGTGCTCAACAACGGATGTGAAACCATTACGTGAGATGTTGGAGAAATTCATTATGAACCCACTGATCAATCTTAGCATCATTAAGAATGAGACAACCAGACTTCATGGCACCAAGAATACTATGAAGTATTCTTACCCCACTCCAAAAAAAATTGACCCTGAATTTAATTAGGGCTTTAGATCTAATATTTAGTGTATAGAAAATAAGTAGGACAGAAAACAAATAACACGGGAGAGAAGCAATCAGCTACATTCAAAATGTGGTTCATTTCAGTAGGACAACAGGCCTGGTTTCTTCGTGGATTTGTTGATAGTGTTTAAAAAAAGGGCGGGGGGAGTGGGTGAGGAAACTGTTCTAGATTAAAAGAGACTGAAGACAACACAAATACATTGAGCAGCCCTGTTTGATTCAAAGAAATCAAGTGTAAAAGACATTTTTAGACACTGAGAAATGGCATTGTGGCTGAGTAATAAAATGTATATGTTTTGAATGTGTACTGAAGTATTCAGGAGTAAAATAATGTGTCTGGGATTGGCTTAAAAGTACTGCAGAAAAATGAGGGAGTGTGGCAAAATGTTGAATCGTTAAAAGTTTAGTAAAGGGTAGGTTGATGCTAGTTGTATGTTTCACTTTCATGTACAAATTTTGGAAACTCATAATAAAATTCTGTGTTTACATAAATGAAATGACATGGGAAAATATTCTAGGTATGTTAAAATGAAGTCTGGAAAGTAACTAGTTTAATCCCATTTGAATTTTTAAAGGTGTTATTGTGCAGATTTCAAAAATGTAAAGATGGACCCAAACGCTTAAGAGTGGTAAATCCTAAATTGTGGGCTTACAGGTGATTTTTATTTTTATGCTTTTCAGTATTTTCCAAGTTTTACTTTTTAAAACAGTTTTCCAAGATGTTTAACATCTCTGTTGGTATTTACCAGATAAACTGAAAATAGTGATAAAACATTTTTTAAAAGTTTATTTCTATATCAAGGTAGCTCTTGATTTTAAAAATAAACTTGAATAATTATCTCTAAAACTCTTAACAAATTGTGAAACCATTCGTTTGTCCTTAAGATCCTCTCCTGCAGAGGAGAGGACAGAACTGCAGCAGCTGTGTGGGAGGGGAGGTGCTACCGGTGCCAGACTTATCATTTGGCTGGAAAGCCATGAAAACATGCAATAACATAAGATCACCAAAGCGATGGATCTGCTAAGCCGCACGAGTGTGGCACAGACGCCAAGCGCCACGGGCCGGGAGACGAAGGGGTCGTCTTCACTCGCCCATCGGCTGCAGCCCGCACACAGCGTCCACGCGCACACCAGAGCCAGGGGAGAGTTGTCCCCGCAAGGAGCCCGGGAACATTAGGACTCAATCAGGACTTTCTCCGTCGAGGTGGTTGGTTGGACTCTCCGCTCCGCAAGCCCCGCCCCGCCCGTCGGGTAGCGCGGCCTGGTCCCGGCGCCTGCGACTCCTCGGAGCCACCGCCTCCGCGCCGGCCCCGGGACCGACCCCGCCGTCGGACCCGCCACCATGGACCCGACGCCCGAGCTGCTCTTCTACGTGAACGGCCGCAAGGTGAGCGCGCCCGCGGCCGGCAGCGCAGGGAACGGCTCCCGCGCCGTCCCTCATCCCCTCAGAGCGGCGGAGGCGCGACCCCACCCCGGCTTGCTCGTGAAAGCCACGCTTGCCTTTGCGACCTCGCCGCCACCTCGGGGCAGGGAAGGGACGTGTTTTCAGGGACTGCCCTGGACCTTCGAGCCCCCGCCTTCCTCATGGTCCCTTTTCCTCTCCTTCCAAGGCTCACAGGCTGATTACCACCCTCCCCACTAAACAAGAAGGAGAATGAGCTCTTCTTACCACCGAAGCCGGCACTCCCGGCGCTCTCCTGCAGACTCCCCGCCCATAACGGGAGCATCTCCCAACGGACTGAGAGCAGCCTAAGGAGCTGGCTGAGCCTCAGCTCGCAGGGTGTGTGTGGATGAGCAGGGAGCAATTTAGAGTCGGGCAGAACCTTAGAGATGAACTAATTCAAACCACCCTCATCGTTTCTCAGATGAAGAATTGTGACTTTCCAAAGTCATAGCTAGTTCCTGGCAGAGTTGAGTCAAAGCCAGGCTCTGCGGACCCTGAGGTCCTCCTGGGATCCACCGCCGGGCTCACTCTGCAAATCCTCAGCGGCAGTTCCAGGCAGTGTCCAGTGTCTGGGGCCAGTAAAGCCCCGTGGCCATCCTTTAAAGCACCCCGCCCCCCGGATGTGGGCATCAAGCTCTGCTCACTCTTAATGTTGTCCCAGCATATTGACATCTTTGAAGAGGGAAACTGAGGCAGGAAGGTTAAAGAGCTTCCTTAAGAGCTAACAACCGAGCAAGGGCTGTGATAACTCCTTTCCATGGTGCCGGTGCTGGTTCATGTGGAGCCACCTGTGACCCTTCCTTCTGGCTGAGGGCATGCATGACACTTGTCCTGACTGACCCCAGCTGTCTCCCCAGGAAGCTAAGGAAGGTTAAGCAGCAGCCCCCTTGCCTGTGAGACCTGTTCCGCCGTGAGCCTAATTTCACATTTATGGTTTTCTATTAATTTTTTAAAGAGGAGCCCTCAAATTGTACAAGTTCTAGACCCACAAAAACTTTGCCCCTGCTGCCTGGGTTCCACACTGGGTAAGATGAGCTCGTTTTTTCCTGATCTATAATGGGGGCCATTAGGACCCCTCACAAGACTGCTGTGAGGGTGAGATGTGATAACAGGGTGAGATGATTTACATTATGTCATTTTTTCTTCTTTTGCACAACAGAATGGTATAATAAAACTGGCTTTTTTGTTTAGACAAACAAGGGTTCAATTCCAGCTCTAACTCTTCGTTGAGACAACCTAATCTCTCAGAGGCTCAGTTCCTCAGTTCCTTTGTTAAAAGGGGTTAATACTACCCACTTCTTACAGAGTGATCACGAGTGTTCAATCCGTGTAAGGGCCTACTATATGCCAGGCAGCGTTTCAGGCTTCCGAGATATAGCAGAGCACAGTAATTAATGGCAGAGTCCCTGCTTGCGTGGAGTTCATGTTGTGCAGGGAAGACAGACAGCAAGCATAGAAATAAATGGAAATGTATAATGTCAGGGACTGATAAGTACTGATATAAAAAATAAAACAAAGTGAGGGGACAGAGAGGGGGCAGGAGCTGATATTTTAGATGGGATGGATATTTTGGCCCCTCTGAAAAGGTGACATTTGAGCAACCACTGGGAGCAAGCCATACAAACACCGGGGACAGAGCCTTCCAGGCAGAGGGAGTGGCAGGGACAAAGGCCCCGAAGTGGGAGGATTTCTGTGTGCTCAGGGGACAGGTTGGGGGGGCTGGACACATGGCCGGAGGCCAGATTACTAGGGCTTTGGAGGTGACAGTAAAGGTTTTGGTTAAATGAGGAAACAGGTGTTTTGAGTCTAACATCTTCTCCCCTCTTCTCTCTCCCCTACTTCCAAACAAACTGCATTGGGATTCTTAACGTAATGGCTAACAACAGTCTGCACTTTATTGATTTTTAAAATTAAATAAGCTGGTTCTTATCTATCAGCCCACTTATCTATCAGGCCAAATGTCCTGTTATCGTTTGTAAAGTATACTCTAGAGATATTGATTTACTTTTTTAAATTACTCCATTCAAAGAAATTGTGTCACCCCTTCCCATTCCTTCTCCTCCCTTCCAAATTCTGAGGCAGTATGTGCTTAGATACTGGTAAGCAAGCCTGACTGCTACGTGGAAAGAATTAGAATAAATTTCCTAGTTCAGAGACTGAGGGTCTGTTGAGAAAATGTGAGAGAGAAACCACCAGAGAAGAGGGGTCTTGAAGTCAAACATGACCTCTGGAATTAAAAACTAGTCTTTGAAAAGGAAGCTTGGAAGCCACTCAGGAGACATTAGGTGACGTGATTGGTCTTTGGTCTGTGCTTTTTGCAAAATCTCCCCGGGTCACCAAAAGGTGTCATCAGGCAGAAGCTAAGGCCATCTGGAGGCAAGACCAATGCACATTGGTCAGAGCCTTAATCATAGAGAGACTTCTGGAATCTTATTTGCTCCACTAAGGGCCCAGAAGAACAGCTGACCCATTTAACATGGAGTTTAAGGGATGAGGGGCCCATGAATAAATTATACCATAGATGCCACATTCTGACCTCAACTCAGGAACTGAAGCGTGTCATTCTGTGAGGCTGTGAGGTGTAGAGATCAAAGGTGTGGGCTTTGGAACTAGTCAGCCATGGGTTTGAATCCTGTGTCTGTTCTGCCACCTGACAGTCCAGGGCCTCAGACAAGGTCCTTAATATCTCTGAGCCTCAGTTTTCTCCTCTGCAAAGCAGAGCTAATAACAGAAACTTATCTTCTGGAATTGGGGTGAAGATTAAATTCCATGGATAGTGATTAGCAAGTGCTCGTACACAGTTAACACTTAATATGTGGAAATGATTGTTAATATCTGGACCAGAAAATAATCTCCTTCATTAGTAGAGCCAGAACTTGCTTAGAAGTGTCAAGAAAGCTAGGAAGTAGTCATTGAGCATTGTTTGCTACATGGGCATAGGTTCTTAGTATTATGTAGGAATCTGGAAGAAGCTGTTCATTGGCTGGTGTTTCCTGGAGTCCTTGGTCTACTGAGCTGCTGAGATGGTTGCAATGATTCAGACAATGGGATTGGGGGCAGGGGGATAGAGGCAGCTTGGGCAGGAAGAACCAACAAGCAAAGTGAATTTTAAAGCAACCTGAGCTCAGGCAGAAGTGTCCTCTTTCTTCTTTCTAACTCTGTCTTGGATTTGGCCGGGCCCCCTCAAGCACTAGTCACCAGCCATGCACAAAGGAAAGTGATTTCTTAACCTTGTGCAATGTGAACTTGGACTCTCCCAAAAGGGCTGGCAGAGATACAGAGGGACAGATTCCGCCCTTGCGACACTCAAGACTATACTGAGATGAGTATGTGCAACGACCCTGACCTGAGAACTGTCATCATCTCTCCAATCCAGAGTCAACAAGAATAACTCTGTCCCCATCCCCTCTGTACATCCCACTATTTTAGTGTGACCTTCCTGCTTCACTTCCAGAGCTGCCAGGACAGCTAGATCCCTGTTTCCACTTCAGATATGATCTTGTCCAAATCAAGAAAAATAAACACATTTCAAGCCAGTGGCACTTTGAACCAGAACTCCAATCTTTTGCAACCTCTCCTAGAACAAATAGACAAACAAGCAAGGCCTGCTTCTTCCATTAATTCCTTCCCAAAATATGTAAATATTCCCCAAGGATAAAATGCTATTCTTTCCTGTCTGTCTATTAAAACGGGGCATCTGTGATTTGCCGTTGTATCTGGGGAAAGACATAAAGCCAGAAGCTTTGTGTTGTTATCTGAGATCCATTTCTTCTTTCTTTTCTTCTGCTGTCATTAATGTGTTGCCTCATGGTCTCAGATGACTGCTGGAGTTCTAGCCACTTCATCCCTATTTCAGGCAGCAGGAAAGGATAGACAACCAACAGTTTCTGCCACTGGTAACTTCTGTTTTTCTTTCTTTTCTTCTGTTCAGACACCCCAGTCTATGAGAAATCATTCCTCCCTTCCCAGTGTTCTCATAGCAAATTGTACACATCATGTTCAAGTCATTCGTTTAATTAGTTAACATTTAGTACATCCCTATGATATATCCCCAGCACAGAGCTCAGAATTTGACACAGAGAAGAACAGAAGATGGTTTCTCTCGGGATTGAGATAGGCTTACACATACACAAATAATTATGACACAGAGTAAAATGTGCCGTAAAAGAAGGGGGAAGGACATTGGCCATGGAAACACAGAGGAGAATGGTCACTGGGAACAGGGACTGGGAACGCGTGTATTAGGTGGCCACACTCTGCCCAGGGAACGTTTGAGCAGGGCAGGGAATGACAAAATTCTGCCAAGTGGAGAAGAAAGGGGCTTTTAGGACAGAAAGGAGCCTGTGCGGATGTGGTGAAGGTGAGAGTCCGTGCACTGCTGGCATCGGCCAGTTCTTCCATGTGGCCTGAGTGCAAGATACGTGGAGACAATGGGGCGGTTTATAGAAGCGGCCTGGCCGAGGAATTTGATCTTCTTCTTGTACTCCAGGAATGCATGGATTGAATTCACCTAAGACGCACTCAGTGTGCTCGTTTAAAATGTACATTTTCTGATTCTCTCTCCCAGAAATCCTGATTCCATAGAGAATTCATTTTAAGAAGCATCCCGGTGATTCGGAAATTCTGAGCATGACAGTTCGGCAGGCAGGAGTGATGTTAAATTTAGGCAGATATTGAGATGACTTGGATTTTGGAGTGGTCACTGGTAGTGGTGTAGAGGGCAGTATCGTGGGTGGCACGAATGGAGGCAGGGGGACCTGGTAGGCAGCTATTAATAATAGAATCATTTAGGCAAGTGTTGATACAAGCTCATTCCAGATAGTGACAGTAGAAGAGAGGGTGTTTGGAGAATCATTTTGGGAGTGTAAGTGGAAGAACTTGGTGACATCGATTGTGTGGATTGAAAGAAAGAAAAAGTTGAAAATAGGTCAGGTTTTTAAACTTAGATAACCTAGCGGATAGTGAGGCTATGAAACAGGTTAGAGGAAAGAAGGAAGGAGTACACTGGGAAATAAAGAGTTCCATTTGAGGGCCAGTTAAGTTGAAGATGCCTGGGAGGTACCCCACTTTTTATATTGTAGTAGGTGTACACACACTCACACACATACTCTTCTAGGGCACAGATCTGACCTTGGCAACTGGCGTGTGCCTCACCTGGCCTTGCATGTGGACACTTAGAATTGAGGGTAAGGAGGCAGCCATGGACTAAGCACATGCCTCTCCTCACCTGCTTCCCAGGAGGGCAAATTATTATATGGTGAAAGATGAATACGGCTTCTGAAATTGTGAAGCAAATTGTGCTTCTATATGTTCTGTGAATTGAAAAGAAATCCAGAATTTTTAATCAAAAAAGAGAAAACATGGTCACCTTGGAAAGCATAACCAATCACGGTGTCTTGATCATGCCGTCCACAGGTGCCACTGTGCTGCCGGCCTGCTCGCATGAATTCGCCCGGCGTTTCCTTGCTGCACACCTTTGCAGCACGTGGCATACACGTTTTATCTTTTCCTTTGTTTCTTTGATTTGGGGGACATGGTTCGTTGTGGTCTCTTTCTGACTGTAATTATTCGAACATGATAAGTCTTTTTAAAAAAATTAACTATCGATTTCTCAGAGGCTATTCTATTCCAAAAGCTTCTCTCTCTGTCTCACTTGCTGTCTTTCTCTCTCTCTCTCCCCCCACCCTACTCTGTTCTGCTAATGTCTTTTCTCTCACTTGCTTCCGACTCTCTAGGAAAAGCTGGACAGGAGTCATTCGTGTTATTAGTAGACACAATCACTGCCTTAGAGAACAGAGCTAATTCAGAATTAAGGACAGGGGTGCAATTGTGGGGAGCTCAAGATTACACTTAAGAGAGGTGATTTGAATATCACAGGTGTTCCATAAACATGAAATCGACTTGAAAATATGAGTAGAAGGATTAATTAATGTGCATTTCTCTCAAATTAGTGTGTTCCTACCAATGTGAATTTCTCACCAGCTCTGTCAACTTGCGTAACTCATTTTCTCTATGATATAGGTGATAGAAAGAAATGCTGATCCTGAAATAATGCTGTTACCATATCTGAGGAAGAAGCGTATCCTTTGCTTTGAGTGTGTATGTGTGTATATGTATGTATAGCTCTTATGTCCTCATCAAATAATATGTCAAATATCTTTTTAGAAACATGCTGAGACATAATCCCTACTATTACGGTTTTATGTTTATCTTTGAGAAAGTTCCGCATCTTAGTTTTATAGACAATACACAATTGTGGCTGTCAGAAGAACCAAGTTCTTTCTAATGTCTGTATAAAATAGAGAAACTAGCAATGGAAACTAAAGCAATAGATGTTTAAAGAGCTTAAGTAAGTATCTCTTAGAATTAAAAGTGACAATATTTACACTGTATTTTCAAGGACTAATCATCATGCCCATTAGAAAAAGAGAGCACAGAAATCACCTAAAATGAAAGTAAAAGAAAAATGGAGAAATTAAACCTGAAAATATTACCCTAGAAAGACTTTCTAAATAAAAGCCATCTTAGGAATGGATTTTTAGCTTGCTATGCATGAACTCCAGTGAGCTTCCAGAGATCGGTAGACCCCACTAAACTATGTACAAAATTATGTGACAATGGGAGTTTGTACATTTTCCCCCAGGAAGAGTGAAATTCCCCAAAGAGTACACAACTCCAAAGCATCAATTACTACTTTACAGATGCATAATTGTCAAAACATACCCCTGAAACATACTCATGGAAGTTGTTCAAGATCTTTAGACATAAAAACAATGAACACTGACTTCCAGGTTAGCCACAGTACCTATGTATACTATTTAAAGTTTGGTTCCCTGTGAGTGACAGAAAACCCCAAAAAGTAGTAAATAAGATAGAAGATAGAAGTTTATTCCTTTCTTGTTGCGTTGGTTCAGGTTCTCTACGAAGCAGACACCAAAAATGGATTAAACATGCAAAGGTTTTGTTTGTTAGGAGAAATGCCTGCATGAAAGGAAATAGGGAGGGAGTCGGAGAAGGCTTACGGAGCCGTTAGACCACAGTGCAAGTCTGACCCTGGAAAAGAAGAGAGGGAGAGAAGGTTGAATGGAAGGGCCTTAGACTGCTGGTCAGTCTAAGACATGTTCTTCAAAACCACTGGGGATACTTGACTAGGACTTCATCTCTCCATAGCGCTGAGCCGTTGGTGGTGTGCAGCCCATGGGAGGCACGGCCTTAAAGCAAACCAGGGCAATCAACTTCCAAGTGCAGCAGATGAGTCTCTTGGTCATTACCCTCCATGTTGAAAGGGGTCTGTAAGACACGTTTGCGTGGCTGTCATACTCACATAAAGGAAACCCAAAGGTAAGTGGATCAGGGCCAGTAAAGCAGTGTCACGACATTGTCAGGGAGCCAAGCTCCACCCTCCTCAGCATGCAGCTTTCCCTGCCTCTATCAGAGATGACTAACTGAGGTTCAGACCTCAAAACTAAATTCCAGCAAATAGAAGAAGTAATTGGCAAAGAAAGGGGCACCCCTCTCCTTTCTAGGACACTCCCCTAACAGAAGTCATACACAACACTTGTATTAGGTCATTAAGTATGAAATGTCGGATTTCCTTAAGTGCTAAGTTTGACGGTTGATACCTCTGACATTTTCACTTTGACACTTCTTGTTTTATTTTTATTGTGAAGGTTACATCCTCATTATTTCAAATGCATGGTTTTTGGCTTGTGATTATCTTTCAGATCTTTTTTTAGAGCAACTTTTGTGAAACTATAGATAAGTCAAAATTCATGTTATTTTTGAATATGAGTTCCATCGTGGAACTGATGCTGCACAGATAGCTTGAAATATCAGTGAACTGTTTGGGAAGGATGTGGCTAATGAACACACAGTACGTTGATGGTTCCAGAAGTTCTATTCTGGTGATTTTAACTCGAAATGAGCCACATGGGCGACCTGAGACCAAAGTAGATAACAAGCAGAAAGCTGTAGTGGAAACAAATCCATCTCTCAACCTACGCATGAATTAGCAGCAAGGTTTGATGTTACTATTCCAACAATATTGGACTATTTGACACAAATCATCAAGGTAAAGAAGCTGGATAGATGGGTACCGCATGAATTAAACAAGTGTCAGAAGAGAAATCATCTCAAACCTTTCTTTGCTGTCATGACATAAAGGCAAACCATTTCTACACTGTATTGTTACATGTGATGAAAAATGATTCTTTCTGACAATCACAAGCATTTGGCACAATGGTTGGATAAAGATGAAGTGCCGAAACACAGTCCAAAACCAAATGTTCATCAAAAAAAGCTAACGGTGTCTGTTTGGTGGTCCAGCGCTGGTAGTATCCGCTACAGCTTAATGAAACCTGGTCAATCAATTACAGCAGATGTCTACTGCAACCAGTTGGATGAAATGATGAGAATGCTTTCAATTAAACAGCCAAGATTGGTCAACAGAGACAGGCCAGTCCTCTTGCAAGACCACATGTTGCAAAATACAACTCTGCTCAAACTACAGAGGCTGGCCTTGGAAACTCTCTGTCATCTACCGTATTCACCAGACCTTGCACCAACTGACTACCACTTCTTCCAGGCTTTAGACCACTTCTTGCTGGGAAAAATATTCAATTCTCAACAAACTGTGGAAAACGCCTTTCACAATTTCATTGTCACTTGCTCTCCAGCCTTCTTCACTGCTGCATAAACAAGCTACTGTTAAGATGGCAAAACTGTATCAATAGTTTAGGCACATATTCTGATTAATTGTATTGCTTCTTGTTTGAGATATAATAAACCAAACTTTTGATTCAAAATTGGACATTTCATATTTAATGACCTAATATGTACATCCCATTAGCCAGCATTGTTAATGACCTATCTGGCTGCAGAGGAGGCTGAAAAAATGTATTCTTTATTCTGAGCAGCCATGTCTATGGCTAAAAGTCAGGGTTTTTATTACTAAGGAATAATGAAAGAACAGATATTAGGGAACAGCTAGCAGTTTCTTCCACTGAAAGGCAGAGAAATATGAGAAACATGGCTAATATGACACAAATATTTCAAGAATTATTTATAATAATAAATAGGCACAGATAAGGATGAGAACAAGTGTGTAATATAGTCATACCTTAAAATACTGAAGCCCTTACATGGATAGACTCTTCCATTTTTAGTTTGGCCCTATTTTTGGTAACCTGAGGTTCAATTGTTTCCAAAGGGAGGGCACGAGATACAACACATAAAATGAAATCAAGAATTTATAAGATTATAGCTGGTAGAATAGCACCTAAGACATACAGATATCGTTTGATGAATATGTATTGAACTTAACTATACTTTTAAGAGTCTGTGATGGTGCCGTCTCATAAGGTCAGGGCTATTCTAAAAAAGAATCACGGAAAATATGATCTTTAACCACGCTTCTTCCAGTTCGACTCACAGGAACTAAGTACGGCTGTGGAGGGGGAGGCTGTGGTGCGTGTACAGTGATGCTATCACGATACAACCCCACCACCAAGAAGTTAAGGTACCTGGCAGCAAAGTCCACCTATGGTTGAATGTTTTGAGCTTCGTTCATTCCTTCATGTAGTAAATATGTATTGAGTGCCTACTAAGTGAAAGGAACTGGGGCACTGGGGGTTCGGTAATGAACAAGACAGACATGGTCCCAGAAATGTGAATGGGTTGGGGAAAAAACGTGCTATCAGTGAGGATAACATATGGTCAAAGAATCCCCTGTCAGAAATTGAGAGGCTGCCTGACTCCCTGTGCTGTCTGGAGAGGAAAGACAGGCTAAAATCACAGTGAAGGATAATGCCATCATCAGATATAATTATGTATATTAATTTATTCACGGACTTCTCATCATTTCAATTTATATATGTATGTGGATGTGTACTGTCTATACCCATGTGTACTATCTATTTTCTCTTAACTAGAATATACACTCTACAAGGGCAGGGATTTTATCTGTCTTGTTCACCAGTGAGTCTTAGCACCTAGAACTCTGCCTAGCACATAGTAGGCACTTAATACATATTTACATTTATTTATAAATGAATAATATCCTTCCAATCTTTCTGTTGTATATACAAATAGAAGCATACTGCAATACTGTTTAAAAACTGTATATTTTGTTAATTTCTCATTAATATCTTTTTAAAATAATAAATGTAAATGGATAGGTATATTCCATCATTTGGATGTACTAAAACCAATCCCCAAAGAGTATTCACTTAGATTATTTTTAGTTTTCATTATTATGAGAAACACATCAATGAATATTCCTGTAGATATATTTATATTTATGTCTGTGGCTATTTTCCTATGATACATCCATAGGGGTGGAATTGCAGAGTAAAAGACAGTGTGCATCTTCAAGGTTTTTATGTCTTTCAGTGAAATGTCTCCCAGAAGAGCTTGGGGAGAATTTAATCGCCATTCTTATAAGCAGTGTATGAGTCCCACTTTCCCAAGCCTTTGCTACCAAGGGATATTATAATTTAAAAAAAATTTGTCATTTCCTTTGATAAATTGCTTAATTTGATTCTTTCTTAATTTTTGAGGTTGAACATTTGTTTCACATATTTATTGGCCATTTGTGGCCATTTGTGGACTATTTGGTAAATGAGAACATTTTAAGAGTCATTTTGAATTGGACATTTTCTAGCAGTGGTTCTGTGAGATTGAGGAGCTCTGTATTCCACACCCTGTTTCTTCCTCTGAAGCACAATATCACATTCACTTTATCACCCAACCAATCCCTGGCCCAGCATCTGCCTGGAAGATGGAATAATTTCTAGGTGGATGGGTGGTTGCACGTGACTGGAGAATGTCAGCCACCCCTCCCCTCCCCGCACCCACTGCCTTATTCAAAAGGAAAAACTATTAAAGTTAGTGGAAACTGTTCTGAAATTAGAATTAGGAGGCTTAATTTTAATCCTGCATCTGACACTCCATTTGAGACCCTGAGTAAATTACTCTGATCCTCAGATTTTATGTAATAATACTTTTGCAAAATGGGTGTAAGCTAAGGACAAAATATATATGCAAAGGCTGGGGACATGATACAAACCTGCCATAGTAGAGGTGCCCAGTGAATGCTTGGTCCCCTTTCCCCCTGAATACAAGGTAATTTGTATTTCATGCTTCTCTTTTGTATTCTGAAGGCATTACCCAGCCAATGCCTGTCTGATCCCCATCTGTTCCCTGCATGGTGCCGCCGTCACCACGGTAGAGGGCATAGGAAGCACCAAGACCAGAATCCATCCTGTTCAGGTGAGGATGTGCCTCTTTCTTAAGTGTCTTTGTGCCTCCAAAATCATTAATGACATTATGAGGCCCTGAGATTAAGAGAGCACAGCAGTCTGCTGCTCAGGCCCTGCTAACACATAAAGCCCAGCCAGGCCCAGGAGCAAAGCCTGGGATACTGGGATATGCATGTTTGTGACTAACTTCTTGGAAAGATGCTTTTGGAAGACTAGAAGACTTTCTCTTTTCTAAGAAAACCTTGACGTTTCTGGGTTTGTTTTCTGTGTTCTAATTAGATGGGACCTGTCCATCTTACATCTTCCAAACTCATAGAGAAACAAGAGCCATGTGCATTGAGGGACATAATTTTCTTGTTTTTTTTTTTAATAAGGTGAGAAATAACATGATCTTGAAGATGAATGAACATCTCAGCTACCAAAAAGATTTGTCAAACTTAGGACTTGTGCAGAAGACAGACGATAGGAATTGTCAATTAATTTTGAGGCTTTTGCTCCCAAAGTGGCACCTTGTTAGAGCTTTTGCCTCAAGGGAAAAGACACCTTGAGACTCCTGACTCTTTAAATTATGTATACATTGCCCATAAAAATGCCCTTGCTGCTTGTTTTTATCTGAGTTAATGAGGGTTACTTATAAGGAGAAGTAGAAGACAGAAAAGATAGGAGCAACAGAAAATGGCCAAACTTCAAGTTCTTTAGACTTGAAGAGATCTTGGCTTCTATTTATTTTTCATGAAACCTCATTCCCTAGAGGGAGAGAATTCTGCACAGATACCCTGGTGAGACTTGGCCTTAGGCAGGCGTGCAAACACCCTTTCATTCCCTAACTGGTGCTGAGCTGCCATCAGCTTCCAAAATGGACTTGCACCTCAGAACTTAGACTCTAAAGAGAAAATGCTAGTGGGGGGAAAGGCATGGAAGAAATAAAGGAAATATTTCCTTCTTTTATTTCTCAATTTGAATGTAATTTGGTTCGTTTCTCTGAAGGACTTCCTTTATCTCAGTAATTCACAACCTCAACTGCACATTGAAACCACCTGAGAATCTTTAAAAGATGTATACCTGTGTCCCACCCCTAGCAACTAAGTCAGTTGATTTGGGGTGCTGCTTGGGCCCTAGAATTCTGGAAGCTCTCAAGGTGATTGTAAAGGCTGAAAACCCTGCCTTCGGTGAAGCTCAAAAACTGATGAGGTTGAACATCACAACAATCCAGCCCTAGGTGGGAGGCACCTGGGATGAGAAGGGCTTTCAAGGACCTCTTGTTCAACTTTAACGTGCAGACAAATTGCCTAGGATGTTGTTAAAATGCAGGCTCTGATTCAATAGGTCTGGGGTGGGGCCCAAGATTCTGCATTTCTCACCTTTCTGTGCTTCCAGGAGAGGATCGCCAAGTGTCATGGCACCCAGTGTGGATTCTGTACCCCTGGGATGGTGATGTCCATGTATACACTGCTCAGGAACCACCCAGAGCCCACTCTGGATCAGTTAACTGATGCTCTTGGTGGTAGGTTATATGCGTATGTGTGTGTTTATTTTTAAATGATGATGATGACGATGATGACAGCTAATAATGTCTACCTACTATGTGCTGCACACTGTATTAAATGCTAGTTGAAGATGATCTCATTTAATCCTCACAATAACTTTATAATATAGCTATCATTATTATGCCCATTTCATAGATGGAGAAACTGAGGTTTGGAAAGAGTAATTTTGTTCAAAGTTATACTATATCACCAATAAGTAGAAGAGTTGGTTTGTTCAAATCAGGATCCAAACCAGACCCACACATTGCATTTGGCTAATGTATTTCTGAAATCTCTTTTAATCTGTAAGAGTCCCCTCCCTTTTTTGTTGTTTGCTTGTTTCTATAATCATTAAAAGGCCAGTTTTTCATTTATCCTTGGAAAGAGTCCAGTTGGAAACAGTCCTTGGCAAGAGTCCCGTTGTCTCTACATGCTGCTCTGTTGCTACTCTCTCCTATTGGGTGGGTGCTCTCAGGACCATGTGCAGTATCAGAGGGCTGTCGGTGAATACAGCATGAAGTCAAAGAGACTGAGGTCTTCTGGTGATACTTGTTTCAAAGAGCTCTCTCTATCCACTCTAGAGTCACTTTATCAAGTTCGGGAGCTCAGTGTGTCTGTGTGTGTGTTGGGGGGCCTCATCAACAAGAGTCTAAACAATTTTTAAAAATGATAGCCTCTCAAATCCTATTTCTGCTGGAACTCTCATGGCTCTATTTTTCTTTGCCTCCTGCCTCCTGAGGACCTCATTTCTCTGCTAGTGAACATGAGTCCTCTGCAACAGTGTTCCAGGGAAAACCAGAGCAAATGGAAGCAGGAGGGAGAGACATAGCATATAACTGCCTTCTGCCTGATTTCCTGTAGGTCTTACCATGCATTTGATTTCATGACTGTTTATGTTGTGAAGAAGTGACAAAGGGTTCACAAATTTTGAGGTACCTAAGACATATAATACATGGAGAATTTATGAATAATGAAGATTCCTGGGACACACCCCCAGACAGCTTGTCTAAGTGGCCTTGTTTTGTAAATAAGACCTCAGATTTGGGGGTGAGTGAAGAACACAAGACCTGTGTGAAAGAAACACTGGCCTAATAATTTATTGTTGTTGACCTTAAGCAATTAGAGTCAGAAAATACGATTAAGTATTGAGTTTATTCAAGCACAAAGTTTATGCATGACCACCTGGGAAAGACAGACTCCAAAGGAATGGAGTCAGTGTTCCCAAGTGGGGAAGTTAAGATTTCATTTACACAGGCAGAAACAGAGAAGTTTAACAGGGTTTGCCATTTTCCATGCAAGGCCAGTCCATATGTTACAGTGATTTGATTGTCTACAGCTTTCTACATTCAAGGCAGATTGCTTTAACATTCTGTGAGGAGGAGTAATGATCTAAAGGGGTTCTGTCTCTGATGCCACTGGGTTATTTCTAATCATTTACAGGAAAAAGCAGAAGTTGCAACTGCATGACTCAGGCCACATAGTTATATTCCTCTGGAGGTTCAAAATAATTTAAAGTTCCAACAACTTTAAGTTTGAATTCCTTAATTTCACATTGTAAATAAACTGTGTGCCCAACAGCTTCCAAAGTTTAATAACTACTTTTGCTGCTGTATGATGCCTTTGATCTTTCTTTTCTTTTTTTTATTTTTTTTGCCTTTGATCTATCAACTGAAGCTTAGTGCTCTCTCCCTCTTTCCTCTCTCTCTTTTTAAAATAAATTGATAACTGCTATAGCGTTAACAATGAGGACTTTTTTTTCTCTCTTAAAAAAAGGAAATCCTGCCATTTGCAAAAACATATGTTAACCTGGAGGACATTATGCAGAGTGAAATAAGCCAGACACAGAAGAGCAAATATTACATGATCCCACTTATATGAAGAATCTAAAATAGCCAAACTCATAGAAGCAGAGAGTAGAATGGTGGTTACCAGGGGATGGAGAAGGGAAAACAAGGAGGTACAGGTGACCCTTGGACAACATGGGTCCAAACCATGTGAGTCCACTTATATACAGCTTTTTTTCAACCAAAAGTGGATCAAAAATATAGTTGTTGCGTATATAAAAGACCAACTTTTCGTGTAAATGCAGGTTCCCCAGGGCCCACTGCAGGACTTGAGTATGTGTGGATTTGGTTTTCTGTGGGCAGTCCTGGAACCAATCCCTTGCATATACCAAGGGAGATCGTATTGGTCAAAGGGTACAAAGTTTCAGTTATGCAGGATGAATAAGTCCTAGAGATCTACCGCACAGCATAATGTCTATGGTTAACAATACTGTATTGTATACTGAAACGTTTGCTAAGAGGGTAGATCTTATATTAAGTGTTCTTATCACTATATAAATGAGTAAATAAATAAATGGCAGGAGGCAACTTAGAGGTGATAGATATGTTTACTGCATTGACCGTGGTGATGGTTTCATGGGTATATACTTATTTCCAAACACATCAAGTTGGATACATTAAATATGTCCAGCTTTTTGTACGTCAATAATACCTCAATAAGGTGGCTTTTGCTTTTTTTAAAGTGAAGCTTAGCTCTTGAATTTGACCGTAGGGCAAGTTTTTGGCTTGAAATCGTTGGGGTGTTTGAGCACCTATTATAAGCAGAGGGCATAAAAACTGTTTACAGAAAAGTACAAATGGCTGAGCTGTTCAAATCTGCCTCGAGACTCTCAATTAAATATCTCAAGTTGCGGATGAAAAAAACCCAACTTTGTACAGACTAGGTGGACTGAAATGTCAAACGGAGTTTTCTTCTAGGATAGGGTCCTTATTTCCATCACACATTTGGCAGACTGTGCCTCGAGGTCTCTTGATTAACAGAGCTTGTTTATTCCCCTTCAGGTAACCTGTGCCGTTGCACTGGCTACAGGCCCATAATTGATGCATGCAAGACTTTCTGTAAAGTAAGTAGAAAGGAACACGTGGTTGAGTATATTTTCCCCCGATGAAACTAAACAGTAGGCATTGTCAGGTGTGATTAGAGGTACAACCATTGTTACTAATACAGGGCTACTTCTTATCTCAAGGTCTGTAACTGCTGTTTTATTCGCTCTCGGCCAGGGCGCTCACCTTCATTCATTGAGCTTGCCTTGGTGGTCACATAATGAGCACCGAAGCATTTTGACGTTGGCTGTGGATCACTGCTCCAAGAGGTCTTCCCTCACCTATTTGTCAGGTTCGCTGCTCTGGCACTCCTGTAGCCCCGTGCATGTGTGATGTGCACACGTGCACAGTGTGGCACAATTGCCCATCTGCTATTCCGTCTCTTCACGAGATTATAGGCTGCTTGACGGCAGAGGCTGTGCATTTCCAGGGCTGGTCACTGTGCACTCACTGGGTAGCTGCTCAATCAATATTTATTGAATGGATAAATAAACAAACAATATCGAAGTGAAGGACATAAGATTGTCCTTTGGAAGTTAAACTGTGAAATCAGTACATCACAGATAAGAACACAGTGATGATAATAACAATACTTGTTAATAATTTGTGTTAATATTTGAACTATTAAAATTAATAACTAATCATTGTCAATAGTTAATATTTATTGCTATGTGACAGGCTCAGTTATAAGATCGTTATATATTTTAACTTGTTTAATAATCACTGCTCTTCAAAATTTCCTATAAGCTCAGGTTTTTTATTAGAGTTAGTTTGGCTGTTTAAGTACAAATGGTTCTCTTTCCAGATATCTAACCATATTCATTCTGATTATGATTCAATTGGTAGTCGCCTGCTTTATTTCCTACTTAGTAGAATCAGCAATAAATTCCTAATGATTTGTTTTTTTGCCCACTAGTCTTCTGGCTGCTGTCAAAGTAAAGAAAATGGGATTTGCTGTTTGGATCAAGGAATAAATGGATTACCAGAATTTGAGGAAGGAAATAAGGTCAGTGAAATGTAACGTTTTTATGAGGTTTACTCAGGACATGAGCAGTAGCTGACTTCTCTTAGGAAGAATAAATGGCTACTCAATTTGACTAATTTGAAGTGTGTCAACGTGTCCCCTCTTCCATTCTCACTCTATTTCTATATAGAAAAATTTTATCCTAGCAACTTTGTCCCTCATCCCAGATATTATTCCCATTTAAATACAGCTATTTATGGGAGAGAAAACATATTGATCCCTTAGTGCCTCTTAGTTTTTCAAGAGCAGTCTTCAAGTCTTTTTTCAAAGGCCAGAAGCAAAGTGAGGTTGTCAGGAAAGTGAAATACCAGGCGGAGCAAGTCGTGATGGGAGCAGGTCAGGGAACTGTGCGTGTTCACAGCTGTGTCTGTGCCACTGCCTGCCTCCTCTGCTGTCCCCCAATTCCAAAGAGAATGTTCAGGGAGCTGAGGGGTCCAGAGGCCAATCGACATCTGTGCTGAGCTGCTAGTAACCAGGTCTGCGTTTGAGCCCTTGGTTTGCAGCTCATGTGTCTGACTGTATGCCCATCATCTTCCGACCTCATTCCACAAGGATTTTAAAGTAAAGTTGCTTGATGACAATAACTCCTGCTACCTTCTCTTTTTAAGGCAAGTCCAAAACTCTTCTCAGAAGAGGAGTTTCTGCCACTGGATCCAACCCAGGAACTTATCTTTCCTCCCGAGCTAATGGTAAGTCAGGCAACATTGAGCTCATCCTAGAGGAATTGATGGTGAATGTCAGGAAGGGTGTTTGCTTATGGATTCTCTCAAAAGTTGGCAAATAGGTAAGACTCATCTGTCATCCTTATCGCAAAGTCTGAAGAGTGTGGACTGAGGAGGAGGTAGAGGAATGAGGGTGAAGTCACCAGGAGGGGACAGCTGGGTTGACTATAAGAAGCAGCAGATAGTATTAGTATCTATGAAGTCAGGAAACCATGTGTGTTGATGCAGGCATGTTTTCTACTTTCAGTTTTGCTGAAGTTTATTCTTCCATAGAATGATTTGAAAAAATTAAGCATGTTGTATTTTTTAACAGTAAAGGTTCCTTGGAGACATGAGAGCACCAAAGGGAGATACGCGGAGCAGACACTAGGAGTAAAACACCATTACACTTTTATCCTCAGCTCTGATTCTTTGGAGAGCTGTACATTTGGGTCACTTTAATTTTTCAGAAGACTTGTATTTCCTTTGTCTGTTTGTACAATGACAGAGCAGAAACAGGTGGAAATGTTATCACAAGGCATCTTGACTCCCTATTGCTTTTTCAACAGATCATGGCTGAGAAACAACCACAAAGGACCAGGGTTTTTGGTGGTGAAAGAATGACATGGATTTCCCCAGTGACTCTGCAGGGACTTCTGGAAGCTAAATTCAAGTATCCCCAGGCCCCTGTTGTCATGGGAAATACCTCTGTGGGTATGTAGAACCCCAGGGACTACTTATGGGGAAACTGAGGAAAAGGGTTTGGGGGGAAATAAACTTCATATATGTGCATTCTCAGGAAAAGTGGTCTGAAATAGCATTTTTAATCCTTGATTAAAGGACTTGATTTCTTCAGCATTGCTCAGGAGACTTTGTAACCATTCACTAAATAAATAAATCCCTCTTGCCCTTCATTGGCACTGTGTACAGAGTTGTACCCGAGGGGCTTGCTCCATAGCAAACCAGCCACAGCAGTGCCAGCAACAGCTGTTCTGTCTTTCCGTTTGGGGACTATCTGGGCCTCACGTTTGAATTGCTGTTTGTTTCCTCTCTCAGTGGTGTCTCAATGGGCAGAATATGTTTTACTTAAACTGCAATTACAAGGTCTTCCTGTTGTGTCCAGTGTGGGCTCAGTTTGGCTGCCCACCTCTTTGAGGAGCCCCTAGAATCTTCCCAAGGAGAATTTTGAGTACGCCGTATGGCCCAAGTTTTAAGGCTGACAATTCCAGAGAGTCCTCCAAGTATAAGGAAAATCC